GTCTCCGAGCCTGGCCCTTCCCGTGGCGCCTGCCGGAACCCCTGTCAGCGCTCGCCGGGGAGTCCTGACGCTGCGGGGGCGGGGGGAGGGGGGCTCCTGCTGCCCCTGACCCAGCACAGCGCGGCCTTAGGTGGTGGTGTCCACGGCCCAGGCCTGTGAGTGAATCTGAGCTGAAGGCAGATGCTCTGCACGGGTTTGGAGTTTTTGTTGTAAAAGCCAAACCGGGGAGACCTAATTCTCCGGCCCTCTGCACCCTCCTCTGTACCTGCGCGTGGGAGGTGGTGACCTTTCTCGCCGCCCCCGTGGATGCTAACGAGCACCTCTGGGTGCGGAGGGAGGAGTCACTGCCCGGTGTGCATCGAGGGCTTGGGGCCAGGAGCCTGCGAGCTGTTTTGTGCTCTGCAGGCCTCGCACATAAAGGGTCCAGCATGGCTGGGTCCAGCGGCTTTACTTAAAGACACTGGGGTTTGAATTCCATACCATTCTCTCATGTCACAAGAGGTTCCTCTACTTTTGAGGGTTTTTAAAATCTATTTAAGAATGTGTGAATTGTATTTAGCTCCGTGGGCTGTACACAAAGGTGGTGGTTTTTGGTCCCCGTCTCCAGGCCTGAGGAGGATGGTGCGCGGCTGTTGCGCTGAGATTAGACCAGCGGGCGGGGCCGCAGGAGGGACCATCGCACCTGGGACCTGTGCACGGGACAGTGAGCGCTGTTGCTAATGTGTACAGATCTCCTTCCTTCAGAGCCTTTACTTGGACCTTTTTCAGAATAAAGTAAACAGTGTCACATGCTTTTCACTGAATTGAACTTATTTTGGCAAGATTATTAAGTGTCTTTTCTGTTTTTGTAAGATAACAGCCAGCACGGTTGCAGGTGATACCGTATTCCTGGTGTCAGAGGACTTTTCCTGACAACAACTGAATGTGTGTGCCACACACTGTGCTGGGTGTTGCAACGGGCCTCCCCGGGTGGGACGTCTGCCCTTGGAGAATTTAATTTTTTTCTGAGTCTCTTACCTTGAAATGAAGGTATTGAATAAGTCCATATTATGCTTCTAATTTGGAAAAGACAAACGAGACTTTATAGATTGAACTTTTTTTTCTAGAGGAATCTGAAGATGACATTTTAAGTTTCACAACTTTTCTGAAGGTGGAACCTGGAGTGCTGTGTTTTCCTGACAAGCTCTCTCTTTAAATGACATGTCAATTTAGTGATGTCGACTTTTGAAATTGAGGGCGAGTTATAAGCAAGCATCTCTTATCTGTTGATCTCTTAGGTAGTAGGATTTTAACTTCTAATCTTTACAGTAGTAAATTTTTTAAAATACTTTTTAATTGATTTTTTACAGAGAGAAAGGGAGAGGGATAGAGAGTTAGAAACATCGATGAGAGAGAAACATCGACCAGCTGCCTCCTGCACACCCCCCACTGGGGATGTGCCTGCAACCAAGGTACATGCCCTTGACCGGAATCGAACCCGGGACCCTTGAGTCCGCAGGCTGACGCTCTATCCACTGAGCCAAACCGGCTAGGGTGTAAATTTTTTTCCTTACCTACACTTATACCGATATCTTCTTGCTGTAAAAGTAGCCATCTGGGGGAAAGTGTGGAAAATATGCTCATTCATCCAGTCGCCCTGACTCAAGTCCCCTTTCAAGATGGTGCCCATTAAGGTCCTCTTCGGCCTTTAAAAATCCACTCTAATCTTCCTTCCTTGTTTTCTGATAACCAATTTTCTTCTTAGGTTGTTTATTCTTTTTAGAATTTTTTTCTGTGCTCCCATCACCAGCGTTGATTTTCCTGTTTTATTGTAGCTAACTCTGTATCTCTGTAAATACATTGCTTGGCACATGGTAGAGATAATTTCAGAGAAGATTTTATGTCTTTTATCTTTTTCCCCTGTGAGTGAGGAATTCAGGCCCGGGCTGAGAAGAGGGATGGCTTTTGTCCTGGCTCCTGGGAGGAGTGTCTTGTTCTCAGGGAGCTGCCCTGCCCTGCGTGGGGGACAAAGGAGATAACTCAGCCCTGGGGCGCTGGATCCAGCCACGGGCTGGGCTGATAATCCGGCAGTCATGCCTACTTAATGAGAACCCAGCGCACCCTCTGCGTCTAGCCTGGTGAGCATCCTGGGCTCACGCTGATGACAGGGCGATGCGTCCCTGAGGCCAGAAAGCTTTCTGCTGGGAACCCTCCCAGGATCTGCTGTATGCTCCTTAACTTGGGCTGGTTCTGCTTTTAACTTTTTATTAAAATAAAAGTGCAGTTATAAGTATAGCATTTTCCTGAATGCTGTGAGTCCTTCTAAAGGATTATTTAACCTGGGGGACTCCCAAACTTGTGGGCAGCTGGTCTGAGTGAGGGTGGCCCTGGGGGTCCCCGCCTGGTGCCCTAGAAGCCGTGCCTGTGACTCAGGCCGACTCCCGGGTCCAGCCACTCCAGCAAGGACTTCACACACAGGATGAAGTGAAAGTTTGTGCTGACTACTCATGCCTAAGCACATCGGTGTGTCTTTTATGAAATAGTAGTAACCCTTGTTATGTGCAATATACTTGAAAATGCTTTATTTTTTAACTTGTATTTCATTTTAACATTAGTTGGTTACTACCCACTAAGTTGATTTCATGACCCACTTCGGGGTCATTGATAGCAACCTGGAAAACTGATTTGGTTATGGTTGTCTTTCTGATGTCTTTGTCATTGGTACTTTGAGTGCTTGAACCGTGGGTGTCAGACCCTTGAACTTGGGCTTGGCCAGCTGGTGCTCACAGGTCCTGCCCCCACGGGCAGGGCAACGGCCTCCAAGCAGATGCTCTCCTGGGAAGGGGTGCCCTGGGCAGGTGTGACGAGGCCCACCAGCCACCCTGTGCTGGCAGTCAGCACCTGTCCTCCCTCAAACCTGACCCTCACTTCTGCCCTCTCCTGTTTTTTTAAGGTAACATCTGTCGATCACCCATTGCTGAGGCAGTTTTCAGAAAACTTGTAACTGATCAAAACGTCTCAGATAAGGTAAGTGCCGTTCACTGTTTTAGAGAGGCCGACCTGAACGCCTTCAGGGCAGGAAATTGCGAAAAAATATTTTTTTTTCTCCTGCAGTGGAGGATAGACAGTGCAGCGACCTCCACGTATGAAGTAGGAAACCCTCCAGATTATCGAGGGCAGAATTGCATGAAGAAGCATGGTGTTCCCATGAATCACGTTGCCCGGCAGGTACCGTACCTGAACCTGAAGGTGCACGCGTGTGTTTTGTGTTACAGTGGGTCATTGACAGCAGTGCTGTTTCTGCCTGGAACGTGGGCCGGGCACCAGATCCAAGAGCTGTGAGCTGCCTAAGAAATCATGGCATCGACACAGCCCACAAAGCAAGACAGGTAGAAGAGATCTCATTTAACTTTTAATGTCTATCACACAGAGACCCGTAGCTTCGGAGGCTGTGAGAGGCTTACCCAGACTTACCTCTAGTTGGGTGTGTTTATTCACGGTCGATTTAATTGCGACAGTGCACCCATTCCATTTCACTTCTGGTTCCACAGACTTTTGGGGTCTTGGAATTTACTTAATGAAATGTAATTAGTGACTGATTTGTCAAGAGGAGAACCCTGGGCGGGAGTTGCAGTCCCTCCTTCTGACCGGGAGCCCCTGTGACACTCGCTCACCTCACAGGGCTGTTGCTGGGGTAAAGTCCTTCCGTCTGTACACGGGCATTTTCATCTGAGAGGCACCTTAGAAGCCTCAGGCCGCGCTGACATTGTTGTGGGTACACAGCCTGCACTCCAGCACTGGATCGTCTGGGTTTAGGTTCCGAGCGCTGCCCAGTAGAACCTGTGGTGATGAGGATGGTCTGCGCCCTCCAGGGAGACAGGTGACCGCTGCTCACTTGACGTGATGCCCGTGTGACCCAGGGGTTGGATTTTACATTTAACGAATGTAATCGCCCCTGGGGTTGGTGGACACCTTACTGGACTGCAGGGTCCTAGGCTCACGTACCACAGGGGGAGCGAGGTTTCACAGCAGTATTTGAGTGGAGATGCGGGGCCCATGGAGTCTTCCATAGCCACAGGGGCAAGGTCCTAGAGAGGTTGGTTCCTTGGTCATTCAGAATGTCTCATATCTTATTCAGCAGGAACTGTGATGATTTTATGGAGATTCAGTGGATCTTTTAAAAATCTGGCTACAATCTTGTACCTTCCTTTTGTATCCAACCTAAGGAAATGTCAGGCTCCGCAGGCCTAACAGGACTGCAGGTTAGCTTCTGAGGACAGGAGGCCTTGTCCTGAGAAGGGCTTTGAGGTCTTCAGGGTGAGGAGCTGAATGCTTTGAAAATCAGTCGTCAAATATGTTACATTTCAATAAGTATGGAAGGCAATGCGAGAACTATGAATTAGTATTAGTGCTTGAATCAGAACTTTAATCCTTGTTATACTAAATCTTGGAAAGCTTTTCAAATTGCTTTGCCACACCGCACTGTAGTTTTAATTTGATCATCTCAATTTTTATGCTCTTCATTGCCCTTTAGGGAAGGGAGTAGTTGGTAAACCCATTTTGCAGATCAAGAAACTGAGTTCTGGAGAAAAAACAGATGACTTATCTAAAGTTACCCAGCTTCAAATGGTAGAGCTGGAATTTGATCATCACTTTGTTTTAATAAAAACATCAGGGTGTGAAACATCAAGGTGTGAGCTAGAAAATTCACAAAAACAGAATTGTCTTAGAAACACTTTTAATTCATTAATGATGCCTCAGAAATTAGTCAGACATTATTTTTGGCTTAGAGAGATTTACTCAGATCTGTGAACTTCCAGTTTCTGGCTGTGTCATTTGACTCAGTGTATTAACAATTTACTATTTAAATTACCTGTATTAAGGACCTGACCCTTTCTTAAAAGGAATTTTCATTGGACAGAGGAATGAATTTTTCTCATTTGCCCATTCTAATCTGGTCAGGCTTTTGCACGCTTTGCCAGTCTCTCTTTTGTATTTTTAAAGAATGTAGACGTATTTTGAGGAGTTCTTCAGAACTATGAGCAATCATACTTTCATATTTTCTATTTTTCACTGAGATATGATGGTTTTTCATACATTGTTATATACTAAAAGTGGGTACAAAGAAAATATTTTAAATATATAAAGTATTTTGGTTTTTAAAAAATCAAAGCTAGAAATTTTATTTTTTAAGAATACTAGCAATTACCACTTTGAGAAGTAGTATTCCCACATACTCTGTTTTTGCCTTTTTCTTGTTTTTAAAATTTTTTTCCTCAAATTTTTAAAACTTCAGTGCTAGCTTAAAAACTAGTGCTAGTAAATATGTTTTACAAATCAGTGTCACATCAGATCTTTAATTTTAGAGTCTCGCTAATGTTCATAGGTTTTCTCTTTAGTCATTGTCACGATTTGTATGAGAACTATTGTTTTCTGTTTCTTAAAAGGTTCATTTCCCCAGTACCTTCAGCTTGGGTTTAATAAAGAATACATGCAGGGTGTTTTTTTCTTTGTAATGGATGCAGGCAGTGCTCCTGAGCAAGCGAAGGCTCGCATCCGGTTAGTGCTATGGAGATGTTTACTTTACTGGACATTCTTTCCTCTTTTCAGTAAACTTCTCTGACATGAGCACCCAGAGTCAGTACGTTTCTACAGCATGACCAGCCTCGCTGCTCCCCCTCCTCCAGAAGTCACCGCGGAAAGTGGGTCCTGTCTCTCTGACTCCTGTGGCTCCTGCCCTGACTCCCCACTGTGTCCCCGTGGCAGGCCTCGTGGTCACGCTGGGCCCTGTCATCTGACAGCTGTGCACAGTTCACGTCCGGCTCTTGCTGGACATGGGTGGTTTCCAGTGTGAAGCTCTGCACTGTAGGTGTTTTTGTGCGCGTTCCAGGGAACACCTGTGTGTGCGGTTCTCTTGGACACACACCCAGAATCACAGTGTGTCCAGGTTGGATACACACCCAGACGTGGGATTTTTTTTTATGGGATTATTTGTTTTTTTGATGTTGAGCTGTATGAGTTCGCTCTATATTTTGGATATTAACCTCTCATTGGATATATCATTTACAAATACCTTCTCATTCAATAGTTGCTTTTTTGTTTTGTTGATGGTTTCCTTTGTGGTTCAAAAGCTTTTTAATTTGATGTAGTCCCATGTGTTTACTTTGCCTTTTGTTGTCTTTTCCCTGGGAGACATAGCCAAAAAATACTGCTAAGACCCATGTCAGAGAGTTCACTGCCTCTGTTTTTTTCTAGGATTTTGTGGTTTTAACTACCTTATGTTTAAAACATTTAGTCCAGTCCATTTTGAGTTTATTCTTGTACCTGCTGTAAGAAGGTGGTCTGTTTTCATTGTTTTGCATGTGTCTGTCTCGTTTTCCCAGCACCACTTATTGACTAGTCTGTCTTTACCCCATTGTATGTTCCTGTCTTCTTTGTCAGTTGTTAACTAACCTTATAGGCATGGGTTTATTTCTGGGCTCTCAATTCCGTCCCATTCACCTATGTCTGTACCATGCTGTTTTCATTACTATGGCCTTGTAGATAGTTTGAAACCAGGTAGTGTGATGCCTCCAACTTTGTTCTTTCCCAAGATTGCTGTGGCTATTCGGGGTCTTTTGTGTTCCATATTAATTCTAGGATTATTTGTTCTAGTTCTGTTTAAAATGCCATTGGTATTTTGATAGGGGTTGAATCTTTAGATTGCTTTGGGTAATATAGACATGTTAACAATGTTAATTCTTCCAATCCATGAACATGGTGTATTATTCTGTTGTCTTCAGCAATGTCTTTTCATTTTCCAAGTACAGGTCTTTTACCTCCATGGTTAAATTCATTCCTAGATAGATCCTATCCAATAAAGAGGGAATATGCTAATTGACCCTCACATCATTGCAAAGATGGCGGCGCCCACAGCCAGTAAGGCGGGAATATGCTAATTGACTGCTCACCCTCAAAGATGGCAGCGCCCACAGCCACAAGATGGCAGCACCCAGTCCTTTCAGCCCTGCCGGGGCAGCAGGTGCATGGCAAGGCCAGGCCCACCCGCATGCCTGCCTCCAGAGTCCCCCAGTCCCCTCAGCCCCCCAGCCTCCCAGGGCCGCCCGAGGCTCAGGTAACCAGGGCCGGCCGAGGCTTATGCTGCCAGCAGTGGCAGCAGCAGAGGGTCACCAGGTTGCCTCCCGCCCCTGAGGGCTCCTGGACTGTGAGAGGGGGCAGGCCGGGCTGAGGGACACCCCCCCCCCCTCCAGTGCATGAATTTGCACTCACCGGGCCTCTAGTTTCTTATAAAAACTGTACTTCCAAAGTATAAAACAAGCCCAGCACTTTGTGGCTACCCCCCTACCCTATAAAATAAAGTTGTAAATGGGATTTTCTTAATTTGTCTTTTGATATTGATATGTAAAAATGCAATTAATTTCTAAATATTAATTTTGTATGCTGCTACTTTACTGAACTCATTTATCAGTTAATCTTTAGGGCTCTATATACAGTATCATGTCATCTGCCAATAATGAGAGTTTTGCTTCCTCCTTTCCAATTTGGATGCCTTTTATTTCTACGTCTTGTCTGATCGCTATGGCTAGGACTTCGAGTAATATGTTGTATGAGTTGTGAAAGTGGACATCCTTGTCTTGTTCCTGATCCTAAGGGAAACGCTTTTACTTTTTCCCTGTTGAATTGATTATGGCTGTGGGTTTGTCATATAAGGCCTTTATTATGTTGAGGTATGTTTCCTCTATTCCCACTTGCTGAGTGTTTTTATCATAAGTGGGTGCTAGATTTTGTCATTGGTTTTTCTGCATCTGTTGATATGACTATGATTATCTTTTATTTTGTTTATGATGTATCACATTTATTCATTTTCGAATATTGCATCAACCTTGCATCCCTGGAGTAAATCCCACTTGATCATGGTGCATGATCTTTTTAATGTATTGCTGAATTCGGTTTGCAAATATTTTGTTGAGGATTTTTTTGTCTGTGTTCATTGGGGATATTGGCTTGTATTTTTCTTTTTTGTGTAATGTTTCTGTCTGGTTTTGGAATCAGGGTAAGGCTGACCTTGTAAAATGAGTTTTTAGAGCCTTCTCTGCTCTTGAAATTTTTGGAATAGTTTGAGAAGAATAGGTGATTTGAAGCCATTTGGTCTCAGACTTTTGTTTATTAGGAGCTTTTGATTACTACTTTGATTTTGTTACTAGTAATCTGTTTAGATTTTCTGTTTTTTCCTGACTGAGTCTTAGAAAATTGTATGTTTCTAGGAATTTATCCATTTCTTCCATATTGTCCAATTTGTTGACATATAGTTGTTTGTAATATTTTCTTACAATTCTTTGTATTTCTTTGGTGTAAGTTGTTACTTCTCCCCTTTCATTTATTTGTGAAATTTATATTTATTTGGGTCCTCGCTCTTTTAATCTTGCGTGAGTCTGAATAAAGGTTTGCCAATCTTGATTATCTTTTCAAAGAACCAACTCTTGGTTTTATTTCTATTATTTTTTAGTCTCTACTTTTATTTATAATTTGATCTTTATTATTTTCTTCCTTCTATTCACTTTGGGCTTTGTTTTGCTTTTTCTAGTTCCTTTAGGTGTGAAGTTAGGTTGTTTATTTGATATTTTTCTTATTTCCTGAGGTAGGCCAGTAATGCTTTGAATTTCCCTCTTACAACTGCTTTCACTGGGTCCCATAGATTTTGAATCATTGTGTTTTCATTTTCATTTGTGTGTGTATGACATTTTGATATGTTAACTGAATTCTGCGTTGTTACTAAGAAATTGAAGATGAAGTATAAACTCTGTGTCTACATATTATACTATTTTATATTTATTCTGGAACTTTATAATATAACTAGAGGCCCGGTGCATGGGTAGGGTCCGTAGGCCTGGCCGGTGATCAGGGCCGATCGTTCCGCGCCACCCCCTGGTGGTCAGCGTACATCATAGTGGGTGGTCAAACTCCCAAGGGGACAGGTTGCATATTAGCCTTTTATTACCTAGGATATTTTTTTGCAATACAATTTTAGGAAATAGGTTAACTCTATTTTCACTTTAAAGTACCCTAGATTTAATTTTTGAGTAATAGGTTCTAATATAGCCATTTTTTTACTGCTCTGTATCCTCTAGACTCGATTGGTATAAATATAAATACTATGCCTTTGTTTTCTTATGTAATTTCAGGTTACTAAAGAAGATTTTGTCACATTTGATTATATGCTGTGTATGGATGAGAGCAATCTGAGGTAATCGCCTTTCTGAAGGATATTTCTGTTCAACCCTCATTCCAGTGACAGGCCAAGTAGTTTGCTGTCCAAGTGACTTTTATATTATCTTAAATTTTTTACTAGATAGTGATGGCCACAGTTTACAGAATTAATTTATTTAGCATAGTAAGAAATTCAGAGATTAATTTAGAACTGTCTTATGGATATATTTACAAAGAGACACCGCTCAGATGAGGGACAGTTGAGTTAGCACCTGTAACTCGGAGCGCAGCTGGCGTGTGGGGCAGGTTCTCCCAGCGTGTGGTGTCATGCTCGCGGGGAGTGGCTTTGCTGTGGCTGCAATGACTCCTGGACAATGTGGTGTTTTACTGTGTTTCTCATCTGACTTCCCCTCCCCACCCCCATCCCCACGCACAAAAAAACTGAGACTGACAGAAAACATCTTACTCTATTTAAATTGTTGATTGCCTTAATTGATTTTTAAAAACAACAACCTGACGCCGTATGGTATTTGGTGAAAATGTCTGACCTTGATGTAATGTGTTGTCAGCTCTGGGTGCCAAAGCCCGCAGCTGGTAGGTGTGTATGGTTGCCCCATCTTACCGGGGACTCCATGCACAGGGCACTGGAGGTGGTTGCCCAGGTTCACAGATTCGGTGGGTGGGTCCTCAGCTCTGGGAAAGCAGAGTCCTGCCTGTGCCCCCATGAGCCCAGGTCCCTTTGGGGAAATGGTCTGTTAAGACACTAACACCCCCATGGCAGCACCGTGCTCCGGCGAGGTGTGTTGCCACGTGGCTCCGCGAAGTCAGCTTTTCCTCCTGTAGCAGCGTGAGGGCTGAGGAGAGGGTGTCAGTTGTTACCGCTTCAATTTTACAGAGACTTGACTAGAAAAAGTCATCAAGTCAATAACAGCAAAGCTAAAATTGAACTACTTGGGAGCTACGATCCTCAGAAACAGCTCATTATTGAAGACCCCTATTACGTGAGTACGGGCCATGCCCACACGGGGCCAGTGTGAGGACCACCCACTCTGTGTCCAGCCACGTGGAATGGCGTGCCGAGGTTCTCGGGGCATTTTTGTTTCACAGGTTTATTTATTTTTTCTTTCCTCCTAGGGGAATGAGTCCGACTTTGAAACCGTGTACCAGCAGTGTCTGAGGTGCTGCAGGGCCTTCCTGGAGAAGGCCCACTAGTGCGTCCGTCCCTGAGCCCGCTGGTGCCCGGCCCCGCGTCCCAGCCGAGGGTCACGTCCGTAGCTCAAGGCCAGTGCTGGTATTTGCATCCACCTGCTGTTTCTTACCTTAAAAATAATTGTAGATGGAAATCAGTGGTTGTGTTTGGCAAAAGAATAAATATCTTTGACTCAGACAGTTTATGGGGCACATGAAGTGTTCTTACACCAGTGGGGCCTCCCACTTGGCTCCAGTTACAGACGAAATCGTAGAACAACCGATCCCTCTGTCAGCATGTGAGCCTCGTAAGTCACCTGCCCTCCTCCTTCCCCGAGTCTGGACGACACGAGAAGGAGCGCCCTGTCCCCGGCACTCCCTTCCACGGGCGGCAGGGGCCCTCCCTCGGGGCTCACAAGCCCCGTGAGTGTGTTCATTCACACCCTGTGCTTGTAGGAAAGAAAGGTTCATGGAGTAACAGTCCTTCCTAGTTTCTGTCCGGCTTGTAGCATAAGGGAGTCAGCTTATTTGTCCCAGTGGAGCCACAGTTATATCCAGAAAGAAGGACACTTGTTAGCTGCTTTATCTGTGGTTAGTAAGAGTTGGAAAATTTTAAGTTGGATGTGGTGATACGTATTCTTCAGTGCTTAATTTATAGGTAACTTCTATGTCCTTTCAGATAACTAATCTAAAACTCATATGGCTACATGTTAGAGAAGACTTCAAAATAAACTGGGGAAATTATAAAAATACGACTAAGATGTAAGTCTGCTGTTTGCCTGCTTTTTGATTGACAAGTGAAGAAGAATTGGAAAGGGTGCTTTGATTTTTTTCCTTTCCAATGGTCTGTGATGCTATATGTACATTATCTCCAGTGTTAGGAAGGACAGTGAGGAAAATGACAGTGATGTCTGCTTATGGAAGAAGTTCGAGGCCCCTGAACCCAAGTGTCCTCGCCTGACCCTTATGAGTGGGTGTCACGGTTCCATGGGTGGCAGTTCACTTTGTCTTCACCCCACTCCTAGCTCTGTCTCTGTCACAGGGCAGTCCCCAACCAGAGTCTGGGGGTCACTTCCTGGAGGAGTAAGAGTCAGAGGAAGGCTGCCTGCTTCTCCTGGGTTTTGGGGACCTCCTGTCGGCAGCGCCATGAGGGTCCCAGGCTGGGTGCTTCGTCCTGAACCCCCTTGTGCCTGGAGGATGAGCAGGTGGCTGTCCCACCCGTGCACCAGGCACATGGAGGCGGAGACGGGAGGCCAGGGCAGGAGACAGGAATCCTCAAGAGTCTCACCATGAAAGCTCTTCCTAGGCCACACAGGCCCTTGAGAGGGTAGGCTGAGAGTTTGATAAGATCTACTAAAAAGTAAAGACTGGAGAAGTTCTGTAATTAACCAGCCAGTGAGAATATAGATTAAAAGAGCACTTCAAAAATTTACCCGCCCTATCTTCCAGGAATCGCTTAGGAAACAGAGCTTTCCCTCTCCTGTTCCTTTATGTTCAGAACGAATGCCTGTCGTTCTTCATGTTTAATGTCGGTCTCAGGTGCGGTCCTCAAACCCTAGGGCTCTCCGCACGGTTGTCCCTAGACCAGGGTTCGTGAAGAGAAACTCCGCTGAGTTCACTTGTCTTTTTAAATTAGATCCAGTCAGATTTGTGCCTATAAAAACCTGGAGCTGCTTGGAAGTCAAGGTTCCTGTAGGGCATGCTCTGTGCTTCGTCACACGGGAACTACAGGTGCAGGCGTGGAAACGTTCACTGCTACCTGTGATAACTGTTGGTTACAAAAATGCACAGCCTTCCCGTGTTGCTTGTTTATGCCTTTCATGTCTCTGGCATGCTGCCAGTATTGTCTTCATCGATTTGTACACCGTGCATTCCCAGCGATGGACGTGTTAGAAAAAAAGTCACTTTTAAGGTTTTTATTATAACAAACACTTCATTACTTGCTTTATTTACAGTATGTACATATTACACAATAGGCTGATCCTATCTTACATTTATTACACAAAGGGCAGGTGAATTGACCTCGCTGTGCGCACAGTTACACTTCACTGTCTCCAAAGCATGGCTGAAGTCATCTTTTTAAAAAATTGTTTTCATGCAGTTCCAAATAATATCTGGGAATTTAATTGTAAAAGTAACAAAAATATTAAATCATACCATATGCTATATGAAAATATAGTTTCAAATCTATATTTGAAATCTAAAGAAATACTCTGTGATTTCACCCAATTAGGAGAGTGAGGTGCCTCCGTCCTTGCAGGGTGTGACCGGCAAGCGTGCGCTCGCTTCCTCAAGGAAAGGCGGGTTCACTGTCAGGTGCCCAACAGTGTCAACATACAAAACTGAAGGAATCGCGGGAGTCTGCAAAAATAACTCTCTTGTTCAGGGGGCGTGTGTGTGAAGGTAGTAGGTTCTGTGTCCCTGTTGGTCTCCAAGGCACTTCTCGTGGTTTCCTTTGTGGTCACCCGCTGCTGAAACAAACATGGGGCTGTCACTCTCCAGTTACCGGCCCCAGAAGACCCATGCGCTAAGTCATGTAACATGACGTCTGTAAACATGAGGGATCTGTGCACGCATGGTTCTCTGTTCCCCAAGTGGGAACTAACTCAGCTACGGGTGATTGCGTACCCGCCCAGGTAAAGGCGTGAGGACCACCGTGAGTACGGGTGGACGTCTGGTCCTGCTGCCACTGTCAGGTCCTCAGAGCTCGGGGGGCCGTCCTGGGCAAGAGCGAGCAGCCCGGACCTGTGTGAGCACGTCTGCAAGGCTACCAAGAAGCAGCACTTCATCTCCGCACGGTCCTGAGCCGTCGGCACGGCATCATTTTAGGAATGATGATAAACCGGCGTTACTGGGCCAGGTAGTGTTTCTTTGGAGGTATTCCAGGTCTACAAAGTCAGCACGGATGTGTTAGTCCTGTGCCTGGTGTGAGTGAGTGCCGAGTGAAGGAGTGAGCAAGTGTGACTTCAGATGTGCACCCTCCTGTGCGCACTGACTCGTGTGCTGAAATAGCTTCACATAAACATCCTGTGCGCCAACCATGTCATCACATGAGTACTTGATGGGTGGCCTGGGACTGTGTAGACAGGACAGGCACCTTTTACTGATATTCTGAGTGTTATGTCAACTTAAAGTAAGGCTACCTTGGCAAAAACATGAATGTTACTGAAGCCCCATGAATTGTTTCCAGTCCCCAGCGGGACACCGGTCTGCCAGCTGATTGTGTGGAGCTTACCTCACCCATCCATGCACACGGGGCTCACAGCCAGCCGGGTCAGCAGCCGGGCACACCTCTTGTAGTCTGAGTGGAGAGAAACCCCGGACCCGTCAGTCCCCAGGTAGCTCCAGTGAATGGCATTTACAACAACCACACAACTGCTGAGACCATTTGACTCCCTTAAGTCTCCTGAGTTCCCTGGGAGCAATGGACCCCGTCACTTGCAGCCATGGGCCCTAAGCTGTTGATGTAATAACTTAGCGTCCGGTGGCAGAGGTGAGGTGATGTAACCAGGAGGCTGTGCTGGGGCTCATGGGAAGAACTTTAGTTTTGCTCCCTAGCAGATGGCTTCTCGTGCTGTTGTTACTTAACGTTTATATCCTGTGCAGGCTGAGTCCCCTCAGCTTCATAGCACAGAGCCTTCTGCATAAAATTCTAGAGAAAGTGAGTCATGTCAGGTGTCGAGCATGAAGACCCAGGCGGAGGGCAGCCGTCAGCGAATCGGGTGCAGATTGAAGTCCTGGTCCCTCCCACTGCCCTGTCATCCCTGCCTCAGGTGCTCCCTGCACAGGGGCTGCAAAGCTGCCTCGGTTTATAAAGACTGAGCTGGCTGCTCAAGTCACAGAGCCCCTCCCACTAGAAGTGGGAGAGTCTACTCCTAACTGAAAACCCGAGTGAATGAGTCAAGGACAGTGCGTCACATCGGCAGGTAACTCGGACCCCAGAGGTGCCCTGAGTAGCCAGAGGAAGAGGCACCTGGGCTCAGAGGGCAGGGTGGTCTCCGGAGGCTGGGCCCTCAGTTCCTGAGGCCTCTCCACCTGCAGCAGTTTTTACAGGCGGTTCTAGCGTCACCCGTGCATGCGTTTCCACTCAGTCCACAGGTCCTCCAACCTGCGTGTCCACCCGGACCTTACTGAGGCACAGACTGCCCGGGTCTGGGTAGGACCTGACACCCTCCCATTCCGGGAGCTCCTCTGGGACCAGGACACACCAAGTACAGAGGCCTCGGGTCCCCTTAGCGCAACCTCCCAAGTGCCCAGAGCAGCGTGGATGTGGTCCAGCTGCAGGCCTTGGGCTGAGAGTGGACCCAGGTAGGGACCCTTATGCAGTGCACAGGTGTGTGGCCTCCCACCTCCGACACCCGGGAGAGCGTGGTTGGGTCTGACTGACACGGCCTCTGCCTACGGGGGACTAGGAGCCGTGGTGGCTGTGGCTGAGTTGCGAGCCCAGGAGGCAGCACACGGCACACGTGGTGCCCCCGGGGAAGGGTCTGCAGTGAGTGTGTGGTCTGCACAAGCAGCCTAAGTGTGGGGCCTCTTTCCTCATCCGCAATTGGAAGGATAGAAATAATGACCCAAAGGCCACTTTCAAACTTAGGTCTTTGGTCCTGTTATTGTAGGGCAGCATTTAACATAAACGTAGGTACACACTTAGACAACAAAGGAAGCAGGTTAATCATTCCCAGACAGCAGGTGACTGTCTCAGGAAGGAAATGCAGGGGTGATGTGTACCAGACCCATATGGCAGGGGTGTGAGGTGTGCTGTTTGCCTTGGGGTCACCCCGTCAGCTGCAAGAGCCTGGGGTGCTCTCAGCCTTCCTGGGGGTTTTGTGAATGTGCCTGGACAAGGAGCTCCTTAAATGACACCTGTTGTTATTCAGGGTAACTGCTGCCTGAGCTGGAAAAACTCCCACTTCCTGTAAAGTGGCTTATGTTTTTAAGGCAGGACAGGCGGGTCTCCTCTGCCCCCTGGTCACCCTGAAAGCAGCTGGTAAGATACGGGGTATCTGTGATCTCCCGCCCTGCTTCCCCCAGCTGTCAATGAAAGGTGTACTCCCTCAAAAGAAAAAGGTTTTAGGGCTCTAGTAGATATCACTCTACCTAATAGTGACTGTTTTGTGAACAGCACAGGAGCCGCTGTGAGGAAATGAAATGCGTGCTTCCCGGATAGATACCAGCACGGCATGGCAGCTTGGCACCGGGAAGGGCAGGCCTGCGCTTCTGAGTTAGTGACAAAGCCATCAGAAGAGCAGAGTTTTGAAACAGTTTACTCCCGGGTGAAGAGGGTATCGCTGCCCAGGGAAGTAGGCCCATCACCTCTTCTCACCCAGTGCACAGTAGGCACTTTAGTGACTTATTCCTAACGTTTGTTTGATTGGCACAGCTATGTAGATGGAAATCCATGAGCAGAATGAGCGACACCCACTCTAAGCCTTGGTTAACCACAGCGAATGTCACCAGTTTCAAGTTTGGCCCTGACTGCTGCCCAGTGCAGTGACCTCCAGTGGGGGGTCACCCTGGCCCCTAACTCCACGGCTGAGGAAACAGTATTAGGAAGCAGGCCAGTCTGGGAGGGCGTGGTACGCCCCCCCCACTCCCACCCCCTGCTGCCCCCAGCAGCTCAGCTGTCACTCACATGCTGGGACGGTGCAGTCTCTGGTGTTGTGGTAAAGCCTGTGGAAGTGTTTGCTGCACTTGGGGCTGAAGTAGAGAGGACCTGGGACAGGGAAGGAGAGAGGGGCGTGAGGCTCCTGGATAC